ATCCATATCAGCATCTTCAATCAATGGTATGGGAAAACAAATATTATACCAACATCTCGAATCAAAGGAGGAAATAAATTTCTCTTGCTCACATTATGATATCTTTAATCTAGGACAAGAAAAATAGATATTACGAGCAGCAAAGAATATCCAATCTCTGTTCTTTTTCTTTTCTGATTAAAACGGGGCAGGGAATTGTTTTCGAATGAATAAGCAAGGGATACAGCGATTCGGGTTGAGAAATTGTGAGAGAGATGAATACCTGCAGTTGAAAATTCCTCGGAGAAGATGTGCAGCAGACGCCAGAGATCAGCTACGCCGGAGTCAGAAGGAAGCCAAAGATGGTGGAACCAATTAGGCTTCCTTTCCGGACCGGTGGGTCTGCTAAAAGTCTGTCGGAGGGAGAGGGAGAGTAAGAGACGGGGCAAAACGGCTACTTTTAGCGCTACAGACTTTGACCCTTAACTTAGACTTTGACATTTTTGGCTCGTCAACTTCAGAAGCTTAGAAGAAATAACCCTTCCGTTAAAACATCAGTTGTTAAATATGAAAAGGCATATTGGCAGCTGAATCTTTTAAGTAAAAAATGCCTGACACTTTGGGATACAAATATTAATTGCTGTCAGTTAGATCCTAAATTTAAAGAATTTAAGCGTTGCATTCATAGCAATTCTAAGGAGGTAGAAGGAATATTAAACTTTGTCGTAGATTTATTATATCATATATCTATAAAAGTAGAAAAAATAGAGAAATTATTAGATGTGTTTACTAAAATTAGAAAATTAGATTTAAATAAAGAAAGTAAGATATTATTAAAATCTTTAAAAGAAAATTTTAAAAATACGATAAAAAAAGAAGTTCTAGTAGATAAAAAAACATGAGATGTGGATGTTTGACTGAGGAAAGTTTAAGTTAAACCCACATGAGCATCTAAAACCAATAGGAAAAAGTATGACTAAAGAAGATATCCTTGAGAAAAAGAAAATGTTGAAAACATTGAAGAAGTGGTATATTGGGAATATAAATTGCAGGAGTTAGAATTCCCTATGGAAAACATAAAAATGACAGAAAAGGAAGAAGAAAGAAAGGATAATAAAACACTAGGATATAAGGAAGTTAAGCTACCTATAAGAGAAGGGATATATATAGTGCAAAAATATGATTGAATGCTAGAATGGTTGAGAAAAAGAAATCCTCACTATCAAGCCTGGTTGATGGAGCAACATTTAAGAGAGCAACAACAAGCGCAAGTAAAATTCATTTTATGAATGCTATGGTGAAGAAACAAGAAGGATGAAAGAACCCATAAATTCAATCAAAACTTCTAAGAATAGTTCATACATAAAACTTAAGTTTGAACCTCATGGGTATCACCCATATACTATAGATGCGTTAGTAGATATAGGAGCTGCTTACACATTAGCTAAGTCAATTGTGCTTCCAGAAGATCATCGGGTCAAAGTTCCTACAAAGAGGCTAGTAACAGCAAATGGACATATATTAGAACTTAACTATTTAGTTAGAAATGTTTTAGTATATTTAGAGGAACAAGTATTTGCCATAAAACAGACATGGCAATTGCCAAAATTAGATGGAGATATAGTATTAGGAAATAATTTTCTAAAACAAAGGATGTGTATTCCATTCGTGCAACATGCAGATTATATCCAGTTAGGGACATCACTTGTTAGTCTAAAATTATAAAGAGAAGTCAAACAAAAGTGTACTTTAGGCTTTCAACCACAAAAATTATCAAACCAACCAAAAAATATAATACCTTTACCCATGAAGAACATGTCAGAGTATGTGCCTAAAAATTGTGGTGATATAGGTATAGTTAATGATAAGGAAGAAGAAGATATAAGCTAGATAGCAAAAATCAATGAGCATTATGTGCAACAAAACCTTAAAGCTAGTAGAGATAGGACACCAAGTCTAGAAGAAACATTAGGAAAGATTAAAAAAAAAAATGATAGTGAAGATCCTTTGAAGCTATGAGATAGAGATACAACAATGGAAAAAAATAGAATTAGTAGATCCAAAAGAGATTATTTTAAGGAAACTAATGATCTATCAACTGGATGATGTTAAGGAATTTAAGCAGTAGATAGACTAACTTTTAAAGAAAGGTTTAAGACAACCTTTTACTTCACCCCATAGGACCTACCTTTATGGTTAGAAATCATACCTTTATGGTTAGAAAACATGCAGAATTAAGAAGAGGAAAAGTTAGGATGGTAATAAATTATAAAGCCTTAAACCAAGCTACTAAGTTTGATGGATATTTTCTACCAAACAAAGAAGTACTATTGAATAATATTCAAGGAGCATTCAGCAAGTTTGATTGTAAGTCAGGATATTGGCAAATAAGGATGGCAGAAGAATCAATTCCTTTAACAGCCTTTAGTGCACCCCAAGGACATTATGAGTGGAGACTAATGCCATTTGGGTTATGCAATGCCCCACAAATATTCCAAAGAAGGATGGACAATATCTTTAGAGAATTTAGAGACTTTTGTGTGGTTTACATAGATGATATATTAGTATTTAGTAAATCCAAGGATGAGCATAGAAGGCATTTAATGATGGTAGTAAAAAAGCTCAAAGACCATGGAATAATTCTATTAGAAAAGAAGATGAAGTTAGAAAAGTCCAAAATAGAATTCTTAGGCTTAACATTAGAACAAGGAAAAGTAGAACTCCAATTTCATATATTAGAAAAGATTCATCAATTCCCTGACAGAATAGAAGATAAGAAATAGTTACAAAGAATGCTAGGATGCCTAACTTATGGAGAACAATATATAAAACATCTAGCAAATTTAAGGAGCTCATTACAAGAGAAATTAAAGAAAAACAGAGAATGGAAGTGGACTGTTGATTATACAAACTTGATAAAAGAATTAAAATCAAGATTAAAAACCTACCAAAATTAAAGATGCCTAATGAAAAGGATTACATGATATTAGAAATAGATACTTTAGATAACTTCTAGAGTGCAGTATTAAAAACCAAAGAAAAGAATACAGAAAATGAAGAACTTTGTGCCTAGGCGAGTGGAACCTTTAAACCAGTTGAGAAAAATTATCATAGCAATGAAAAAGAGTTTCTGGCAATCAAAAGAGGTACAGAGAACTTTGAAATTTTCTTATTTTCAAAAGAATTTTTAGTGAGAACTAATAATAAGAACTTTGTATCTTTTATAAAAAATAACCTTGAGAAGTGTATGCAACAAAGAAGGCTATTGAGATGGCAATTATGGTTTAAGCAATTTTACTTTAAAATTGAATACATTAAAGGTGAGAAAAACTATTTTCCAGATGCATTAATTCATGAAATGGCTTGTTCTTTACAAGAAGTCATGGAAACTTACAGTTCATCTAGTTTAAAGAAAGAACAAATTCATGAGCTAAGAGAAATGGCTGAGGAATCTCTCAACCAGCAAGATAAAGATATAATACTTCCTTTGTTGCAGGGAATAGAGATGAGATCCTATAATATCATGAATACTCAAGTAAGAATACTTATTAAGAAGCTAGTAGAAGAGAAGAAAACCCTTTAAGGAAAATTAGATAAAATTCTAGAAATATTAGATACTATTATCCTCACCAATTTACAAAATTGCCATGATGATATAATAATAAGAGAAATTAAAACAGTCTTTGAGAGTTTAGATTTCCTTACTAAACAGATGGAAGAAAAATCTTCTATTAAAAAATCTAGATATTATCTAGCTGATCTAACATCAGAAAAGATATGGTTTACGTACCAAAGAGATGCAGTCTTAAAAAATATTAAAGAATTCATGCCTCAAGACATTCAAGAAAAAATAATAAATACGCAACCAACTGCAATGAAAAATTGGTTTATAACTCATAGGTATCTCTGTTAGGGATCTGTAAGTAATGCAAGTGTTGAGCAAATTTGGGAAAGAAATCAAAATTAGTATTTGGTAACACCCACATCTTCATCATATACAGTAGCATGGTTGTTTGAACAAGGTCTCAAAAAAATTATCTTCAATGGAAAAGAGATTAAGTATTTGTTCATGTTCTTCCCACAAATAACCAAAGATTCGCTCAGATGGGAATTGGAATTTTGTCAAAATATAATATTTTCTCTTGAAGTCTATAGTACACCACCAGAATGCGGAGAAGGAATCACTTTCATACCTAGTTTTCATGTAGTTAGATTAAGAAAGAATTATGGATGGAAACTTCCAGCACGAAGAGAAGCAATGACCTATGACGAAAAAGAAAAAGAGTTTCTTGCCAAAGCAAAAGCCAAAGCATTTATAAAGATGGTCGCAATTATTAGAGAAAGTGAGTATCTAGGATGGAAAACATTTGCAGTTACTAAAAAAAAAACTTTCAGAAGAAAATGCAAAAGGAGTTTCCAAGGAACCGGTTAGCAAGCCAGAGATTCAAAAATAGTGTGGACAACTCAACACTTGAAATGACAAATCAGTGCAGAAATCACATGGAAAGATATTTTGAATTGGTAAAAGCAATAAACCAAGGTGCAAACGTGGAAGCAAAACTAGCCTCAATATGGGATGAAGGAAAATCTTTAGTAACTAGAGAAGAGTCAACATCTAGAACCATGGAAGAGGAAATGATAATAGAGCCTAATAAAGAACAAAATATCTCAGAAGATGACAACTATGATGAAAGCTCATACTGGGAAAATATGACAGATGAGGCGTAGTACAATGTTGAAAACACAATGGAAAAATAAAAGTCACTCATAAAAAAAAGGACCACTATATAATTGTATTAGTATAAGACCACTATATAATTGTACTACCCTCAAGAAGGTTTGAAGTCCGGATTTGAAATCTGAATAATTGTACTAGGACCTTATCTCTTAGTAAACTATGTGTGAAATTCAAAGTTGAAGTTTACCCATACTACCTATAAAAAGGGCATGGA